AGGAACAATTCCTTGCCCAGAGGGTGCTCAGGCATTGGAACAGGCTGCCCAGGGCAGGGCTGGAGTCACCGTCCCTGCAAGTGTTCACAGCCCGTGTAGACGAGGGCTCAGTGCCAGGGGTTAGTGGTGGCCTTGGCAGTGCTGGGAATGGTTGCACTTGATGAGCTTAAAGGTCTTTTCCAACCTGGCTGATTCAGTGATTCTGTGTGAGCTGCAGCATCCCATAGCATCAGCTCAGCCCTTCCAGCTCCAGGTTGGAGGTGTGGAGCTGGCTTGGTGCCCTAGGGCCATTGAGGTGACCTTGACATCCAAAACATGGGAGCCGGAGGCTTCCCCCCAAGCTGGGTCTTGCCTGCTCCTCTTGCATGCCACTGTGTGCCGTGCTGTGCTAACAGAGCTCTCACTGTCTTCCAACTCCTAAAACTGCCCCAGCCTCTCATCCTTATCAACCCTGAGTGGGGAGAAGAGCCAGGGAGGGACAGATCACACACCCCCATACGTGGAAACGTGTGTGTGCTGCTCAGGGCAAGCTGGCACCATCAGTTTATTCCCTTTTAGAACTGAGTTCCTTAACCAGGCGTTTTCCCTGAGCTTTGGAAGCCTCGGTGCTCAGGGAGTGCCACGTGCTTTGGAGGCAGGTCATGGGGAGCTGAGCTGGTGCTGAAGAGGTTGGGCTTTTCTGCTTCTGGCACAGCACCCCCAGGGCCGTACCTCGCTCCAGCTTTTGGGGGCCACATCCCATCAAGAACATGCCCCTGGGATAACTCCCCTGTCACTTTGTGCAGCTTTCCTATGAAAAGGGAGGAAAAAGAAGTTGTGCCTCCCTGGGGAAGCTGTCTCGGGGGTGTTCAGCTCCCTCCCCAGCTTCATCTGGCTGGTTTTGCTCCGCAGCTCCCCCCACAAACACCCAGCAGAGGCTGAAAGGTCCCTCGGGGAGCAGCGAGTGCCCCATCAGCCCGCTGCCTCTCCTGCAGCTGCAGCTCTCTTGTGGGCAGCAGTGGGAGGGGTTTCATGCTCCTCCAGATAATGAATCATTCTCAAGAACCCGAGGCGTCAGGATGCAGCTGAGGCTCCTCTGCTTTGTGCTGTGTCTGCCCGGCTGGGCTGCACAGTACCGGCCCTTGTGCCGCCCCAGCCCGGGCAGGGCTGTGGGAGGCAAACACGCTGGCCCCCTGACCTGCCAAGGCGGGCGCAGGGAGCTCAGGGCATCAGCTCCTGGGGGCTGTAGCTCAGGGGAGCTCTCCCCCAAGCAAAGCTATAGATGGAGGCAAGGAAGGAGCTGCACTTGGGTTCCTCCGGTTTCCTTTTGGTGGTGGAAACGTGCCCCAGTTTGCGGGCAGCAGGAGGATTTGGCTCTTCCCAAAGAGTCCCGTGAGCCCTGGACCTGCTTAAGACATTACAGTTCTAAGCAATGTATGATTTTCCTCCTGCTCCTCAGCTGAAGCTGAGCCAGCCTGGGGATCCTTCCCGCATGCGGGCAGCTTGATTTAAGGGCAATCCATCCAGGACTGGAGGTCAGCCCCACATGGGCATCCCTGGGGCTGGGGTCTCTCGTATCTCACTGACATCCTTGTGTCCGTGCTCCTCTGCTCCCTCTGTGTGTGTGTGTGTGTTTGCAGTGAACAGCATCACCTTGGCAGTGAATCTCGTTGGCTGCCTCGCATGGCTCATTGGAGGTGGTGGAGCTGTTAATTTTGGACTGGCAATTCTCTGGCTCATTCTCTTTACGCCCTGCTCCTATGTCTGCTGGTTTAGACCTATTTACAAAGCTTTCAAGTAAGTGGTCACACCTCAGCCTGGCTTCTCACGGGCTTTTGGGTTTGTTTCCCTTCCTAACTGGTTAGTGCTTAGCTTGGGGAGCACCTGAAGATTTGGAAGTATTTTTGCTCTTTCTCTCCAGTCCTTTAGCTTTACTTTCTAACCTTCAAAGTTAGGGTTTTGGGTCCTGAGGCCATGCAATATAAAGACACCCTTTGTGCCTCCACACAGTGCTGGGGAGGGGTGAGGAGGCACTGGACGCCAGCTTGCCCTCCCCTCCCAGCCTTGAGGCAACTTCTATAGCTTTCCACAAGTCCTCAAGGTGCTCGTATTGATTATCCCACTGGTGAGGTCGATCCTCAGTGCCGTGCACGAAACTGGGGGTGTATTTATTCCCCATATGGGATGGGTGAGGCTGGCGTGAGCTGAAAGCCATGTCTGAACACGGATGCCCAGTGGCCTGATGTGCCCAAGCCATGGGGAGGGTTGGATGCCCTGTGGCTTTCCCAGGTGTTCCTTCAGCCTCTGTTTCTCCCTTGCTTTTAGCTGCGTCCTGGTGCTCTGCTTCTCACCAAACCACAGCCGCTTCTGCCCCTAAAGGGTCTGAGATGTGGGAGCACCTCCCTTCCCTTGCAGCACAGTGGGGATGGAGGTGTAGGGAGTGACTGAGCCTTCTCTTGCAGGACGGACAGTTCCTTTAGCTTCATGGCCTTCTTCTTCACCTTCATGGCCCAGCTGGTGATCAGCATTATCCAGGCAGTGGGAATTCCTGGCTGGGGTGTCTGGTAAGGAAGGTGCTGCTCTTGCATTGGGTGCAAGGACAGCCTAGAAAAGTGAAGGCTCAGGGGAGACCTTATAACACTCTTTTAGCACCTAAAGGGGCTCCAGGAAACCTGGAGAGGGGCTTTGGACAAGGGCCTGGAGGGACAGGACAAGGGCAATGGCTTTAACCTGCCAGAGGGGAGACTGAGATGAGCTCTGAAGCAGAAGCTCTTCCCTGTGAGGGTGCTGAGGCGCTGGCACAGGGTGCCCAGAGAAGCTGTGGCTGCCCCATCCCTGGCAGTGTTCAAGGCCAGGTTGGACACAGGGGCTTGGAGCAACCTGCTCTGGTGGAAGGTGTCCCTGCCCATGGCAGGGGATTGGAGCTGGATGAGCTTCAGTGGCTTCTCGGGAGGGTGGTGTGAGGCGGAGCAGGGGGATGCTGGCAGCCAGGGAAACCCACTGCTGAGCGTTCCAGTTGTTCTGCTCTCCTTGCAGTGGCTGGATTGCAGCGATTTCCTTCTTTGGGACCAACGTGGGCTCAGCTGTGGTGATGCTCATCCCCACCGTGCTGTTCACGGGGATGGCTGTCTTCTCCTTCATCGCCCTCACTATGGTACGGCGGTGCTGCAGTGCTCCCAGGGCGCCGTGGCTGCTCCCCTGGCAGGTTGGGGTGAGCTGCAGTTGCTCAATCCTTCTGGATTTTCTCTTTCCAGGTGCATAAGTTCTACCGGGGGAGCGGCGGGAGCTTCAGCAAAGCCCAGGAGGAGTGGACCACGGGGGCATGGAAGAACCCCCACGTCCAGCAGGCAGCGCAGAACGCGGCCATGGGCGCAGCGCAGGGGGCCATGATGCAGCACGAGACGCAGTACTCGGCCACCCCCAACTACACCTACTCCAACGAGATGTGAGCAGCAGGACTCTGTCCTCAGGCACCAGATCTTGGGGGGAAAGGGAGGAGGAGGAAGGCTGAGCCGGATTTCTGTGGCTATTCCAGAAAGCTGGAGTGTACCATAACGGTTCTTCTTTTCTTATTCTTTGTAACGAGATCATTTGGGATTTTTCTTCTTTTTTTTTCCTCCCTGTTACTGTCATGAGCTTTTCTTTTCTCCTTTCTCTTTCATTTCGAAGAGGCTGTGAGTTGACCTGCAGGGCTCTTTGTGTGTGTGTGTGTGGTAGTTACATGTATGTTCACGTGTCTTCTTTTTCCCTGTGAACTAGTGTAAGGTGTTGGTTTTTACTTACTGTGGTGATAGGTGTCTGTTAGAACTCCACCAGCCAAAAGCCCCCACTCCCAAAAGGGAAAGATACAAATAGCAACCAGCACCCGTTTTCCCTCTTGGAATAAGCCCTGAGCCACAGGTTTCTGATGTGTGTGAGTTTTCTCTTTTAGTTGGTATAGCATCCAGCCACTCACCACTGACTCAGCAAGGACAAGCCATCCCGGGAATCCACCTTTTTCCCTTGCTTTTTAACCAGGAGGTGGCTGGCTGGGTTAGTATTTAACAAAGCAAATGAGAGGGTAAGGCAAAAAAGAGCCCCTCAATCCTGGTGTTGATATGCTGGAAGCCAAGAGATTCCTACCCTACCCCCTGGCTCAGGATCTACAACTTCTCTCAGTGTGTGGTGGTGTAACTGAGTAGTTTCCAGTATTTGTGTGTGTCCATGGGCAGGAGCCCCAATGTGCTGCGTGTGTGCGTGTGTGTGCATGTGCTGGGGAGTGAGGACAGGTTTTTCCTTGTGGGATACAAGGAAATCCATTCCGGATTCTGCATCCTGAGGCTGTTTTGTAAAGGCTTCTTGAAAAGCAGCTGTAGAATTGGCAGTGTTCCCCAGAGGAGCTGTTCTTGGGGGAGGCTCTGGGTCCCATCAGGCACATACAACCTGTGTACTGTGTAAATAGGGAGGCCAGGATTTGTTCCTGTTAGCTTTTGAGGTGTGCAGGAATTTAAGGCTCTTTAGGAAACCTACAGGCTGCTGGAGAGGGATTCCTGCTCACTTGAGCTTCTAACAAGTGGCCGTGTATTTTCCTGGTGTGGAAATCCCTGCTCCTGTGAGCCACGAATCCATGCCCAGTTAGGGGTTAGTCTGGGCTTTAAATAATGGTGTGGCACCTCAGCAGAGGCAGCTGAGCTCAGACCAGCACCTCCTGGGCTGTAAATGGGAGCTGATGGATGCTGCAGGGCAGGAGCAGGGAAAGCTCCTTCTCAGAGATGCTTTTCAGACTCTAAATGCACTTTAAATAAGCCAAATTTCTCTCCAAGTCCTAGAAAAGCAGCCCAAACTGACTCCCAAGCCTAGTTTCCTTTTTAAGGGTGGCACTTGAGTCACTCTGCAGTAGACAGTCCTCTCCTGATAAGACTAAACTGCAGCTAACAATAAAATGCCTGTCCGTGTGTGTATGTATATATGTGTAAAACCTAAGGAGAAAAGTAATCCTTTGCTGAGCCTATGATGTACTTAATCAGGTTTAAATATTGTGCAATTCATTTCTAGCTAGCCGAAAAGTTACTATGCCAAACCACGTGCTCTGTCATCCATGTCTGAGAAGTGATGCAATGAAAGTGACTTCACCTTTTGCATTGATAACTGTACCGAGCTGTAACTAACAGACATTGCTTCAGCACCTAACCCTTCTCTCTGCTGTGTCTCCTCAACCTG